CAAACTAAGATTGTTACTAGGCGGTATTGTCAAATTATCACGGTTCACTTTAGGTGTCATAACTGTTATTTTCTCGACCGTCGTAATTTGGAGAAATCATAACTTTTCTATGTAGCTTCATTTCAAAATAAAACAAACTAAGATTGTTACTAGGCGGTATTGTCAAATTATCACGGTTCACTTTAGGTGTCATAACTGTTATTTTCTCGACCGTCGTAATTTGTTATCGCTGTCAAAAATAAGATTCGCGATTCAATATTATGTTGGACTAAAAACTCTCTTTTGAGGTTGAAAGATGTAACTTAAATACTCATTGCTTTTAAAACCAAAGAACGTGCATACGCGCAACCCCCAAGTAACTTCATCATTTTCCATCTTGTGTGAAGCGTCAAGCCAAAATTTTCAAAATGACTTATGACGTCGAGCTATATTCCTTGAAACCAATCAATAAATATGTATAAAACCATAAACTGAAGTATCCATACCGTTTGACTAGTTTCAAAGAATTTTATGCTAAAACGATGCATAAAATGAACACAGATTGACCGAAAGCGAATACGATACGGTTGAACAGACTCTTAATTTGAATTGTGGTTAAGAAATATAATGTGAACAGTTATGTAGATTTAACAATTTGGAAATGTTTAAAGCTTGACTGAATTTGAAATTCTTTCAAGATATCTTCCTCCGTGTTTCGATGCGAATGGTCTATAGATAGTCTAATCATATTAGCAAATTTCCACGAAATAATTGTTGGTGCAAGTTGTTCAAGGGGGTATTTAAAACATGGACGCATAGAATAGGTACACCAATTTTTGTAGGAAAACTTTTTATTCGACAACAAATAATGAGAAAACTTGTTTTTTGGGATTCAATCGAAAGTGTTGGCAGAAACGAAAAAACTCTTCATATAAGATTTTTAGGTATTTATGACACCTACAAAATGAGACCACTCGTGAAGAAGGAGGCAAAGTGCAGGTTTTCGCACTTGGTGGTAATGCGACGATAATTTCACGTCACTACTTGAAATTTTTCAAATCCGTGGAATTCATACTTCTAAACAAGAACCATAAAATTGGAGTATATTGGTCTAGTCGTATTTTGAGAATCTTTAATTTTTTATCCCAAAACACCTGTTTTCCGGCCATCAGTACCAGTTTATTGAGCAATATACAGGATTCGTTCAAAGAGCATTTAATAGAAAAATACACGTGTTTACCTTGCCGAAATGAGTCACAAACCATTTCGATAAATGTTATTATTACGTTTTTTTTTCTTCTAAACAAATTCAAACACTTCGTATTTGTGAGTAATTAAACAAATGTGCTACGATATTCGAAAAACGTACGTTACTATACATATTTTAAGACAAAGCGGATGTGTTTATCATCTTTTGTTGCAAATTACTCTCAAATACGAGATGTTTAAATTTGTTTAGAAGGAAAAACGTAACCCATCATTCATCTTCCGCATTGGTTTGTGATTCATAACCAAACCGTAAACTAGTGTATTTTGCAATAAACTGCCCTTTGAACTAAACCTGTATATTGCTGAATAAACTAGTAGTGATGGCCGGAAAACAGGTGTTTTGGGATAAACAATTGGAAATTCCCAAAAACTACGTGTCCAATCTATTCCAATTTTGTTGTGGATATTTAGAAGTACGAATCCTACAAATTTGAAGAATTTTAAGTATCTGCGAGAAACCATCGTCGCATTAGCAACAAATGCCAAAACATGCAGTTTGCCTCGGTTTTCGGCCATAACTTTTTTGCTGTTAGTCGGATCTTTTTACGTGTGTAGGTCTCAGCAATACCTAAAAATCTTATATGAAGAGTTTTTTTGTTTCCGTCAACACTTTCGATTGAATCTACTAGAGACTGTTGTGTTGAAACTGAACCAACACTAAGAATTAGTAGATGTCAATGTTAATTCCGCTCCATCCATGGGTAATAAGTTGCTCAGTCTTTTGGTTGGCTACGGCAAAGTTAACAGACATCTCTACCGCATGTGAATAGAAAGAAAACATGCAAGGAAGAGATCTGAAAGATAGTAGCGCCATCTAGACATTTGCAGAACACATAAATGAATCTAGAAATCTACTCTGAAAAGAGTTAGTTCGTGGTTCGGCTACTGGCTCATAGATTATAGCGCCAGGATCTTCAACCCCTTTTTTGTCTCTCTAATGCCTATTTCAGTTGGGTATCTTCAGGCGGAATACACTGATCAATGCTCGAAGATACCTAATTAAAATAAGGATTATAGAGGCCAAAAAGGATCCTAGCGCCATCTATTAGGCAGTAGCCGATGCAAACACCTACTCTTTCCAAAGTAGATTTTTACATTCATTTATGTATTATGCTACTGTGTCACAGATGGTGATACTATCTTTCAAAATCCTTTTTGGAATCCGGAATAATACAGTACCTATATATCGTGGCCCTGGAGTCGAGGTATTCGGCATGATTGCGTTTGACAGAGGAGGTTTTACGAAGCTATCTGGTCGAACATCGTGATATTATTTAGAAAGTTTGACATGATCGATATCAATTTTTATCACTGGCGGCGTTTTTTCACAGTATTGGTATCAGAGATCGGCAAATATACTAAGTTATACTAGTAATACAGACTTGGTAGTTCGTATGCATAGTTTTGGAAAGCATATTTTGTTATCTGACAGCCGAATAAACACGCGGATTCTCCTACAACTGATTACCAATTATTGAAAAGGGCTGGGTGGATATGCGTACATACTTTTTCGCGATGGCCGAATTGTGGTTTAAGAATAAAACGGGTAATTCGCTTTGCCCGGATTTCGTCTGTTTCACCATCAAGGAAGCAGAACACTGTTCAATAATTCGCAAAACTAACAACCATTCCCCAATTTCTTCAATCTTACCATCAACTTTAACGGCCTACTCATCTCGCAACACAGTCGCTGTCTTCCTCAATCAAATCATTTTATTCGTTCTGTGTACTGAAACTCGTCATTTCGTCATTAAATGCTTCATAATGTGACTAGTTTTTGCGCTTGCGGTTTTACGGGTTCGTTCGGTGATTGCCTGCCTTTGTTCTAATGGCGAACAGACAGACAGACAACACAGTAGTCATAAAAGACCTTTACGGTGATAAACGCTACCCAACATGTCATGATGTAGCTTTATGGACTTTTGGATCTGCTAATTGCGATGTCAATTTATACTTAGTTGTTATTTGTTGGAGTCTTGATTTCTCAATTTGGCCGAATTCTATACAGAGTAATCGAGGTAATTCCGTGTGATGTTCAGTTGTATTTACTCGAAAGCAGGAGGTCGTTAAAGCTATGCGTCCATAGAGCGCAGTTAAAACAAAGACTTTTTATATGTTGAATGATTGCAAATTTTGCAAATTACTAATTTTTTGCCGGTTTTAGGTTTGCTGGTAGAAAGCTAAAAAGGCGACATAATATATTTGGGCATTTCTTAATCGCTGTAAATATAGTGTGGATGTTTGTTCAGTTCCTGAACAACGAAAAATATTCAACTTTATGGTTGTATGGATATCAAAAAAACTGAATGGTTTTGTGGGAATATCAATCTAAGGTGCCATAATGGTTCTGATGAACGGCATGTAAATGATTGATTGTTTGGAAACGAGCAATATCTATGAAATTTTTGGTAGTGTCTGTCATCAAGTAGGTGTTTAATGGCTATCTGCAAGGGGTTTATAGGAAAAAAAAAAACACGGGAGGTGATGTTAAATCAGAAAAAATCGCATATCAATTGAAGAAAATGATATAAAGATTAATAAAAAATCAACAATAGTAATTAAAACATGAATTTTATTCAAAATACAGTTCTTTAAATTTTGACTGAATTATATATAATTTCTTAATATTCAATAAGCTGGTGATGTTTCAAGAACAAGCTGTCATCTCATACTTTGACAATATTTTGTTTTCAACATTTCATAGGTATTGGTTGCTGAAATTTGTTGATTGGATGTTAAAGCTCATTCGCTGTATTTGACGGACTGTTACCCTATAGGATGAGAATAACGGACTGTTCATTTGACAACCTTGGTGAAATCCACCCTTAATCTATTATAAACATGGATACTATTTATATTCTTATTAGGAACCAACAGAAGCCTTGTTCCCATTCGACCAAAAATACACATTCGGCCTTCGGTCAACAAAGACCGTAGGTATTAAAAATTCAGTACTAACAACGATTCTGTGGAAATCCCGTAAACTGAAAGAGTGAAAATGCACATAGTTACAGTCATCGAACGTACCTTTCAAAAGCTGTTAAGGGGTGCTGACATATGTATATGGCTAGTGGTTCTCAGTGATGAAAATGCACGTGATCACAGTCATCGAGCTTAGGAACTGTTGAAACAGCTTTTAAAGCAAAGGTATTAAGGGGTACTGACATATGTATATGGCTAGTAGTTCTTAATCCATACCTCTTTGCTGGCAATAATTAGGTACTTAGAATTATCTGTTAGCATAGCAAATGGTAGGATAATAGAAAAACCAGTTTGCTATGTGATGTTAATACTGTAATTTTTTTTCTCTAATCCTTAATTATTGTCAGTATTCACATCCGTTTCATAATCAGCTACCGTCTGCTCATCTACTGGTTCTTGTTTTGTCAAAAATTTCATAATTATGCTTTTTAGACGGCTTCAATTCTGTTTAAAAAACAAAATGATGTACCTACACCGTTACTTTATTTTTTAGACTTAGAAAGTATTGTTTTGGAAATGCTTTGAGGAGCAATTATTTTTCATATTAAATGTTATAAAGGTATACCAGCAAATGGGGGCTGATAATTTTGATAATCTAGTTCTGCTGTGTAGCTAAATTTTTATGTTTTTACTCTAGTTGAGTAGAAAATGCTGTTGAAGATATCTGAGTTGGAATTTGTTCAGCAGTATATTAAATATCTAGAGTATTACAGTATTTTAATCTACATGTAACAGTTAAATTCAAGTATTGATACTCACAAAATTATTCTCACATTTTAATTTTTATCAGTTTTGGTTTTAGATTAAAACAGAAAGAAACTTATAAGAAAAATGTCGGCACCCATATTACATAACTCAAAAAGGTACATTATTTCGATATTTGATGGCATTAAGTAAGTTTTTGCGAAAAAATATCATCTTGGAACTAGATTCCGTTGACTTCTTGTTCACCTGTATTTCTATACTAGCTGTGCATTCGGTTTCGGCTTGGACCTAGGGTTGTGTTAAACGCTTCAGCTTTCGTCTCGAAACGGACCTTCCGTAGGACCCTAGTTCTTGTGCACTATGTAGATCCCACCTGCTGAATGAATGAAACAATGCTATTGAAACAATATATGTATAATGCGGATGCTAGATCTTGCATAATTTGGGACATGTGCCTATTCCTTGCTTGGACTTGCCTATCTTATTTGCAGCTTATGATTCATTATTAATGCTATGGTTAATAACTTTTTATCCCATCATATTTAATTCATAATTTATTACATGTCGAAATCAAAATTTTACAACATTCCAAATTTATAGCCGCTATAAAAACATAGATTTCTTATAGTTTCTCGTAATTTATAATATTAAAAGGTATTTAGCATGATTCTAAGGTAATAAAATAATTCATTAGTGATGCTATGAAGCGTTGAAACAGCCTGTAATTGATATGCAGTGTACGAGGGGCATGCAACATTTAGCCGAAACAGCTTTGAATGGAAAATAATCATCTGGTACAGTCATTAACGCCTAATGGTATACCTCTAAACTTACTCTTCACAATAATCTTGAGTTGCATGATTTCACTGCTCACAAGGCCGCGAGTAGCACTATGAACAAAATTATCGACCAACACAAACATTTTCCAAATCAAACGACCTAAAAATTATCTATAAAAGCATCGATCAATATGTTCTGACTGAGGATAACCAACAATTAGTAATGTATTCCGGAGTCAAAAAAGGGATCTGAAAGATACTAGCGGCATCTATGGGACAATATCAGAACTCAAAAATCAACTTCTGAAAAGGTTAGTCTCTCTACTAGATCTTCAATGAATTTTTGGCTTCTCTAATGCCTATTTTAAATGGAGGAATACGATTTAAAAATATGTTCCAGAGAGGCCAAAAGGGATAGCACCATCTATGAGATAGTAGCAGATGATCCCATTATTTTTCAGACCCCTCTTTGGACGCAGGAATTTAGAATATGGTCAGCTTAATGTGATATAAGTCAAATCGAAATTTTCAAAACCGAGGCAACTCTTCAATGGCGCACCTCGTCCTCTAGGTAACCAGACCTGGCAGACCTATTGATGTAGAAGGTTTTGACTAAGAGCAAACGTGATATCAGGAGGATATGAGTTTTTTATGATTCTGTCATTAAATTCGTATTTTTATGGTTATTTTTTTACCTGATACTTCGCATAGTGCGGGACAAGCCTAGTGAAGGGCATTCCGATCGGAAAGTAGTATTATTATCATCGATATACAACGTTGCCACTTTGGTAGAAAACAGTAGTCAAATGAGTCAAAACTACGCAATTATGACGACAAACAATCCAATATAAACATATAAGGTTGGCTCCTTCAAATCTATTCGAATTCATTCTTTTAACAGACGGCGACGAAAAGTTTTTTAAAAAAAAGTTGAAATGATAACCAAAAATAGAATAGCAATTGGATCGAGGGAAAGATAAAAGTAACTGGACATAAAATGAAAAAGAAAACGTTCCTATTGAATGTTTGAATTCCTTTCTGGAATGCTAAATATGATGATAAAAATGAATAAATTAGACGAACTGAGAAGATCTTTATTGATTTGAATAAATTAAGTTTATGTGTTTTGTTTAGATAAACGTGCGATTATATGGTTCTTAAAATTATAATTTTGTCTGAAAAAAACCTGTTCTCACACTGTCGTACACATGTCTGACAATTAGAAAGCTTCTAATCAATTTGTGACGTTTGTAGCGACCATTATTAGCTCTTAAGAACGGCGTATAAATGAGTTATTTATGTATAGACGCAAGTTTTACAGAATTCATAAAAACTATAGAATTAGCACTAAGACAACAGATCAGACCAGCAGTTAACACGTATTTTATAGTATATAATAGTTCTTTTTTTAAGAGCAGTTTGCAATTTTCCGTCACCGATGCCTAAGTGCCCGTCTAAAGGCTGCTACACACAGTGCCGGCGGCAGGGCCGCCAGGCAAGATGCCGGCTATGCCGCCGTACACCCGGCGGCATACAAAACCGCCGGCCTTGCCGCGCAAAGGAGCCACCGTGGTGTGCCGGCGGGTTTCGCGGCTTGCCGGCATCACTTCGTTCCTGGCATTCGAGCGGTAGTGTTGTGCGGTTTGTGTTTAAACAAATTAAAATGTCGTTTAATTGGGACGACGCGACGAAGCTGTGCTGCTCTTAATTGAAAAATTTCATGAAAATGATATATTATGGAATCCCAGAAATGCAGCACTTCACTAGCTTTCTATGTGACTGTCACAACCGGAATGATGCTTGACGGCTTTGCGCGGCTTATGCCGGCGGCTTGTATTGCCGGCGGCATAGCCGCTCGGCATAAACCCGGCGGCATTGCCGCCGGCACTGTGTGTAGCAGCTTTTACATTTGCTTTATAGATACGTTTTCTGTCGATATCCGTTACTGAATGTCTGAATAGCGCAATAAATATTCAAATGTAACATACTGTATAGTTAAAGGCGCCTCTTAACCTTGCTCACGTAAGATATGCTGAGTACTTTGTCGTTTATGTAATTAATTAAAATATTTAATGAGATGAGAAATTAGCTAGATTTAGATTTTTTAGAGCCAGGATCGTTCATGCCAAATGATTTGCTTGGCGAGGTTAATGAATTGGATCTTTGTTTAATTATGACGTTATCCTAATTATAACTATTGATTAGGTTTCTTGAAAGTACAAGTAACAATTTATTTGCTCCACTTCTGTTATTATTTACTATTTTTTATTATACAGACAGTTGAGTTCAGACCGTGTGGTAAGCAAGCGTTATTGATCAATCGGGCAAACGTCGCCCGAGCATCAGGTATGAAAAATATTATCGGATCAGCAGCATTTCAAAGATAAATTTGCTTAAGTAAAAAAATAGGTGTTCTTGTAGAGCAGATGATGATGAAAACAGTCACTGCGGGTATTTATACATTTTGTTGTTTATCAGCGCCTGTTTCAACGCAGCCACAATTCTCCATAGTTCTGCCTAAGCCTTCTTCCTAATGTACCCCACATGTGCTCAATGGGGTTGAGATCCGGACTCCTTGGCGGCAGTCTAGTACTTGAATTCCAACATCCCTGAGGTATTGCCTAGTCATTCTAGCTATATGCGGCCGAGCATTATCTTGCACCGGGAGAAAATTTTCTCCTATAAAGGGCATATGAGGAACCACATGCTCTTCCAAACACCCTCCAATGTACCTGTCGGCAGTAAAGTGTCCTCCTCGTAGTGAAACAAGATCTGTGTGGGATTCCAAAGAAATACCGCCCCATATCATCACTCCTCCACTACCAAATTGGACACTAGGAGCGAAACAACTTTGAGCATAGCGTTCTCCACGCCTTCTCCACACTCTTTGGCGACCATCAGCTGAATATCACGTAAAATAAGACTTGTCTGTAAAAAGAACGTTTTTCCAGTCGTCGATATCCTAACCTGCATGCGTTCGAGGAAATACCACGAGCTGCCTTCCATGACCTACATATAATAGAGGACCTGTAGCAGGTACACAAGACGATAAGTTTTCTTCTCTCAAGCTTTGGCGTACGGTGTCAGGTGAAACTATGGTACCATGAACATCATCCAATCTTCAAGTCAAAGCTGTAGCAGGAAAGGTCCTTTCTCGAAGAGCTTGAAGTCTCAGAAACCGATCTTCAACTGTGCTTGTTGCTTTCCGTCTTCCCTGTCCAGGTCTTTTTGAGAAAGAACCAGTTTCTCTAAATCTTTGTGTCACATCAAATAGCGTACTGCCTGGAACGGCAAGCCTTTCTGCGATATACCGAATAGGACTACCATCATCTTGTAAAGCTACAGCTTGCGCTACTTGTTCCGGTGTCATTTTTGTTGAGTATCCAATGTTTCCACATGGTGTTCAGAAGTTTAGGGCAAACTGCACCTTTTAGTTACACCCTGTAGAACAACAAACATTTTCAATGTTTTGCAAACTCGACAGTCAATAATGATGGTAATGAAATTACCTTCAACTTGACGAAAATATTAACGAAATTGATGCAAAGGTAAAAAAGTTCTTTAAAATTGAAATTGAACAAAATTTTGTTGTCCGTTTAATTTTGCTAGGCAGTGTTGTATTCCCTCAATTTGCGAATCCGCTTGTTCAGTATTACCCATCTTTAAAGCAGGGATATATGAATAACCGGAAAACAACGATTTGTCTACACTTGAACTCAAGTCTAGGGTATCGTTCACTCATAAGCACTCATATTTCACTTGCTTTATGCCTTGTTTTGACACCCGCCTAACGCTAAACAGATTTGTAGGGTGGTACCCTAAGGAACCGCCGAGATATTTTGACGTCGCTTATCTGTTAGACGCGGCGCTGCTTTTGATTTACGCCGCCTTTTGGGAAGTGAATCTTGAGGAACGGAGAGAGATGCAGTTTTAAGGAAATCCATTGGCATAGCTCGTCTCGACATGAAGTAGAATAGATGGATGTGGTACTTTTCCTTTATTTTCTATTTCTAGACCCACATATAGGAACCTGATATGATGTGGCTTTCTGCTTCTAAGACGTTTAGTGGTGGCAGATATTCCACGAACTGTGATTTAGTAACTGATTTCTAAATTACCGATCTAGTCTGTTAAAATACTGTGATTAAGCGTGACGTGATCACGACTTTGGGGTGGCTAGCTGTTTCATGGTAATGGCGACCGGCATATTGGTAAGACTACATACTTGCCCTGCATAAATAAATGAAATCTCAGTCATGTTTGTCGTTCGTTTTTCATTAGCCAACTCAAAATCTGTTCCTATGGAGACATACTCGTATATCCGTAGCTCTATCATTTCTAATTTATTTTTTAAGACATGCGCAAGAAATTTGAACATATTAAAGATAATGAATACAATTGCTTTGCGTGTTTCTCAAAAAACGTTGTCCTCTTCTCCACTAACCTCTTCTCTATAATATTCCCAAATTCCTTGACCATATACCAGAAAAACGATCGTAGAACTGCAACTTTTTCTTTCTGATATATGTGATAATTTTTACAAAAAGAATCTTTAGAAAAATGCGAAACGCAAAAAGCAGTATAGCTTACTTACATG